TAAAGCTCTTCATCCTTCTTCTCCATGTTGCTGGGAAAAGACAACTTTATCATAAAGTCACTGTGGAGCACTTTCATAACTGACATCAATTAACACTAAGACATGAGCTTTATTCTGATACACTCTGGCACTGTTTAACGCAAGACAACCAATTCCAATATAAGATAAAGGGATAAAAGGAGCTTTAGTCTGCAATGAGAGGACTGTTAATGTTAAGGAGCAGCATGAATAGTGTGCTGAATGTGTAAATGCAAGGATAAAGCCAGGCCCCCAAGTGGATTCATCCCTAAGGAACTATGTAATACTCCTCAGTCTTATCTCCATCTCTCAATTACCCATCAGAGAGAAGAGGCCAACCTGCGGTGAATGATTCTTACACACTGACTCTGTTACTCTGATCTTCTCCTTAGCCCTTTTGTGAGACGTGTGAGAAAAATATTGCATTGAAGTTGGATATTATCGCATGGGCTCTTCTTCTTCTTCTTCTCTTTCGCTGCATCCTTTAGTGGCCATCCCTCTGTATGTCCTCCTTCACTACATCCATGAACCTCCTCTGAGGTCTTCCCCTCCTGCCCTTCAGGTCCATCTTCATCATCCTTTTTCCACCATTCAGTATCCTTCCTCTGCACATCTCCAAACCATCTCAACCTCTTTAACTTTGAGCTGTCCCTCTGATGTCCTCTTTGCTTATCCTGCCCGTGCTGCTCAGTCCAAATGAACATCTTCAGCTCATGTTGGGATCTTGGTGTCTGTCTAAGAAAGCAGCTGATCGAGGCAGCTAACAGGAGTGCAATGGGAATCAAGCTGCCAGAGAGACATTGAAAATTGCAAAAAGGTTTTGGAAGAAGCCATTTATGGGTCGTGCCAGGTTCTTTTTACAGTGGTGTTGAAACCCAGGCTGGCATGACAGAGCCCCAACCTGTGTAGCTGATGGGGGCACTGGCCCAGATGGTGTCTGAGCTGGCAGTTGCATCTGAAGCAGTTGGAGGAGGTGCACGCCTGGAGCAAGCAGCAGACAGAAGTATTGGAAAACCTCATCACTTGTTCTGGCTCCTTGCTGACTGGAGGAGGCCCAGGTGGCAGTTATGAGCCTCCACGCAACAGCAAGGGCACCCTTCCTACATTAGATGGACCATCCTAGACTGGATAGACCATTGGTGCTGGTTCCGGAACAGTTTGATGGGGTTGCAGACAGCCCTTCGCTTAAGTGAGGCGACTGCATGAAGCCACGGCCAGGAAGCTGCAGCCCTAAGTAAAGCTCAGCTGCTCGACACTGTCGTCCAGGAGCAGTTTGTCTCGGTCTGAACAGTGGAGTGAGTTTACTGTCACTGGCTGGCGAGCCTCAAGCAGCTTGGATGGAACCACCATGGGAGCAGCTGGGGCAAGCAGCGACCAACTGACCAGTCCTGGCCCAAAGGAAGAGGCACCCGGTGGCATCACCAGCCCGGCCAGTGGTTATGGAGCTCTAGCCATTTCCTCCCACTGGAAATGGATACTAACCCCTTCTCTAACCCCTTCTCCTCTGTTGTTTCTCTGCAGGTCATGAGGGCTATGGAAGTTGTGCTCAGCTCATTGGAGCAGCACAAGCATCAGAGCAAGAGTGCTGGAGATGTGGGCGACTAGTGCACATCCGCCAGGACTGCCCGTTATTGGAGGTGAAGTGGGTGTTCCGCGTCGCCCATCCTGAGACATCCTGCCCCAGTCCAGGAGACGAGGGTGCCAATGGTCACAACAAACGCGATAAACTGATCTGGAAAGCCAGCAATGTTGTGGGGATGGAGCTGGACTCCCTTATGATGTCCAAGGCAAGCACAATGGTGGACAATACCTCCCGCCCACACTATGACATCCTGGCCTGTCACAGGAGGGTGTTCAGTGAGAGACTGAACTTACCCAAATGCACCACTGAACGGCACAGGAACTCATTCCTGCCGGTCCATATGGGTCAAACCGCCAAATCAATGATGTAATTTTAACTGCCTTCAATCAAATCAAATCACTTTTATTGTCACATCACATGTGCAGGTACATTGGTACAGCACATGTGAGTGAAATTCTTGTGTGCGAGCTTCACAAGCAACAGAGTTGTGCAAAATACAATAATGTAAACAAGCAAAATACAAGAATGGCTACATCTGAAACTAATAAATATATGTACAATATATAATAGTATATGCATTTCTGGATGTGTATACTAAATATTTTTCTACGTGTGTGTGTGTGTGTGTGTGTGTGTGTACACATATTTTACAAATTAAATAGAGTAAACAATAAATAAAATATATAAAATAAAATATACAGAGTGAGACATGTGCAAAACAGTGGCATTACTGTACAGTATGGAGTGCATAATGTTAAAGTTCCAGTAGTGAAGCTGAGGTGTCTATGACGTGTTCAGCAGTCTGATGGCCTGGTGGAAGAAGCTGTCTCTCAGTCTGCTGGTACGGGACCGGATGCTGCAGAACCTCCTTCCTGATGGAAGCAGTCTGAACAGTTTATGGCTGGGGTGACTGGAGTCCTTGATGATCCTCCCCGCTTTCCTCAGGCAGCGCTTCCTGTAGATGTCTTGGAGGGAGGGAAGCTCACCTCCAATTATCCGTTCAGAGCACCGCACTACTCGCTGGAGAGCTTTGCAGTTGTAGGCGGTGCTGTTGCCATACCAGGTGGTGATGCATCCAGTGAGGATGCTCTCAATGGCACAGTGATAGAAGGTCCTGAGGATGCGGGGGCTCATGCCGAATCTTTTCAGTCTCCTGAGAAAGAAGAGGCGCTGCTGCGCCTTCTTCACTGTTTTGTTTGTGTGTACTGACCACGTAAGATCCTCAGCCAGATGTACACCAAGGAACCGGAAGCTGCTCACTCTCTCCACAGCAGCGCCGTTGATGGTGATGGGGGTGTGTACTTCTCTGCACCTCCGGAAGTCCACTATCAACTCCTTTATCTTTGCGACGTTGAGGGTGAGATGGTTAGCCCTCACACATCTGACTCATATGTTAGAGTGCTGTTCATTGACTTCAGCATTCAACACAATCATTCCCCAGCAACTCATTAACAAACTGGATCTGGTGGGGCTCAGCACCTCGCTGTGTAACTGGCTGCTGGATTTCCTGACAGGAAGACAGCAGATAGTACGGGTCGACAACAACACCTTTAGCTCAAGAACACTGAATACGTGGGCTCCCAATGATGTATGTTGAGCCCCCTTCTCAACTGCACACCATCACACAGCTACATCAAGTTCGCCTCAGACACAGCTGTGTCACATCAATGATGAGACATAGAGGAGTGAAGTTAACCATCTGGCTGAGTGGTGCAGCAACAACAACCTTTCCCTGAATGTGGAGAAGACTACGGAGATCACCACAGACCTCAGGAGAACTCACACCCTGCACACCCCACTAACCATCAACAGTGCTGCTGTGGAGAGGGTAAGCAACACCAAGTTCCTGTGTGTGCACATCTCAGAAGATCTCTCCTGGTCAAAGAACACAGCATCACAGCCTCAACCGCCATTATTGGAAAATCTCGGAAAAAATAGTCCTTCATAAATTGCTGACCTTGTTAGAGACTAATGGAATCAGCGAGAAATTCCAATCTGGGTTTAAACCACGCCACAGTACTGAGACAGCGCTATTAAGAGTTTTTAATGACCTCCTTTTAACTGCTGATTCAGGGCGCTCAGTGGTCCTAGTTTTATTAGACTTAACGATACGGTTGATTAGGGCTGTTCGATATAACGATATATATCAGCTGGCGATATAAAAACTTCTATCGTTTCATTTTACGCTATCGTTTGTTTCGTGGTGTCGCAAAAGAAACTGTTTACGTCAATATTTTTTCATCATTTTGATGGTCACTGTAGTGGCTATATTAGTTTCTTAAAGTTCTCTCTTTGTCTTATATTTAATATAACCACACTACGGACGGACAAGTGCCTGTTTTTACACGTTGTCGTTAGCAACCAAGACGGTAAAAAAAATGGCGTGGCTCCGCCGTCTGCTTGTTTGTTTTGCATACCTTTCACAATAAAGCTCAAAATCCTGTTGAGACTTTTCAAAATAAACTAAATCCCATGGAAGAGTATGGAGAGCATTTATGGATGATAAGCAAAAAAGAGCCATCGGGTGCTAAAAAATAAACCTTAGACTCAAACGTTAGAGCAGGCTTTTCCCGGCAGCACGCCGTGTAATAAATACTCACAAAGAAAGCAACGTCCGTTACAACTAAAAATGTATCGTTTCATGCATTGGTTAAAAGTCTCAACTCCAGGTACATGACCCCCAGCTGGAAACACTTCAATGCAAGTCAATCTGCCTGAGATTCACAGAATTTACAGAAAATGTTAAATTCTTGTGATTTATATTGTTATCGGGATGATAGATGTCTTATATCGGGATATGAGATTTTGGTCATATCGCACAGCCGTACGGTTGATCACAATATTCTCCTGGCAAGGCTAGAACAAGTAGTTGGACTTAAAGGTAATGAATGTCCTTTCATGGTTTAAATAATACTTATCCAAGAGGTCTTTCTCTTCGTTTAAGGCATGGCTCTGTAGAGCACCACTGTCACTGTGGAAATGCAAACGCACCCACATTTGCCACTAAAAACAGACCTGCAACACAAACATATTCAGGAGCCCTCAGTTTTAATCAGAAACACTGATAACCCAACAGCAGCAGCAATGATGACGCTGGCACAGTTACACAATGCAAAGAGCAAACAGGTGGAGCTTTACTGAGACGATTAGTTCAGGTTGAGTGAAAGAAAAGTTGTTTCTAGCGTCCAAAACATCAGTGCTGTTCCTGTATTCGATCTTAGTTTTTCAATTTAGTGGGAGAAAGTGTGTTTGCTGATCAAAGGACCTGATCAACAAACTCAACTAACTAGTTTATTATGTGAATGTCACATGTGGCCAGTTTTCTCACAGACTTATAGAAAAACATTCAGCTTTGACAGGTGAAGTAACAGAAACAAGCATACACACGCCTAAAACTTACCGAGGAAGCGGAATGTCCTGCGTACCAGCGGGTTGAGGTAACAGCAGTCTCCGGTGGCCACTGTCTTCTCTAAACGGTCAAACTCCTTGGATGTGTACTGGACCAGAAACAGCACAGTCTCTGTCACTGTGATCTAGGAGAAATAGGGGCCACATACACAAAGAAAACAGATTACTGAAAGGAGCAGCACTTTACCTGTGAGTGGGTGCTGCTAGTGTGGGTGGTGTTATTTTATCAGTCATTCGTACCAGTGCTCTCTCAGTGGGCCCCATCACTAGTGACACAGCTGCTGAATACACAAAAGGACTCAAGCCTGTCTATGCGCAAATATGTATGCTTTTGAAAACAGGACCTAGCCCACTTTCTATACAACTCTCTAAAGTTGACTATTAGCCAAAGAAAGCTGCTACAGACAAACATGGCAGGCCACTGATCCTTACACTATAGAAGTCTTCCAGTCCCCAGGGTGAGGTCTGAAAAGCTGGAGCAAACGTCTAAATCAGGGACGGATGGAAACCTTTCAAACAAGTAATTTTTTAAACAGCTGTTTACGTCAGGCAGCTTCAATGCAACATTAAAATGAATTATAAATAAACTGTATTTATTATTGTTTTCAGACACTGATGCCAGTGAGCAGCAGAATGGTGAATGTGTAACTGATGCAAAAGAAGCCAGTGTGTGTTTGTGGAATGAAAGAACAGTGTAACAGTGTAACAGTCAGTGAATCACTGACATGTGTGTGGCACCGAGTAATATCACACTTTATTAAACACACAGTTCCTGTTAGCAGACACACTCATGTTTGGGTCTGGATATGGGATTTCTCTTCATGAGGAGAAAAATATGAAAGATCATGCCACTAGAGAACATAATAGCTTTTAGACACAAAAACTACTGTGGCTTAGGGAGCCAGTGAAAAGTGATAGAAACCCGAGGTGACCAGTAAAAACAGGTACGGTGGTTGACGCAGTCACTCCTCTTCAGCTAAGGCAGTGTTTCCCAACCACTGCACCGCGGCACATAGGTGTGCCGTGAGAAATGATCAGGTGTGCCGTGGAAGATTATCTGGTTCCACCTGATTAGTAATCTAAGCGATCGGTGTGGGTATCGGGCAGAACAATTACATTCTCTTCCACTAGAGGGCAGTACAACTACCTGCTCTAATTAAATGGGTTGCTAGCTGTCAGTAAAACAGAAGAAGACGAAGAAGAAATTACATAACAGCCATGCTGTGAGTGAGCCGATGCAGCGTAATAGCAATAGATACATATGTGAAAGGACAAAGTAGTCAGTGGGACCTGGTGCTGGAGAAAACTCTGACCCCGATGAGGACCTAGCACAAGCACTGGTCAGAAGAAAGCAAAAAAGGTATACTGGGGACAAACCGAGCCAATTTCTTTCTTACTTCCCCTGTCATAAATCATAGGCCATAACTCACTTTCTCTCATATGTCCAAGTTTTTCCCTGCAAATACTTTATTTCCCAGTCTGTTGGGACAGTTAACTAAGCAGTGTATTTGGTTCCTCCAGGGATCAAACCAGGCTGCTTTCACTCATTAGGTGAATGTAAAGCATCGCACTCTGGAGCCACTGAAAGAGTCCACACGATAGATCTCTTACATTAGACAACTGATAAAATATAACCAAATAAAACTCAACACCAACGCGACTGGCACCAGGTGGAGTGGAAGTGATGACCCTACCACGTCAGCTACTCATCATTGATATGAGGAGCTGTATTTCTATGGTGACACTGGTAGGGATGTACTGGGATGAAATACACTGCACACCGTGATAGTCGTAACATCAGTAAAAGAATGCAGGGCCTGCACTGTGCTCAGTAACACGTATATGCTGCACTGACCACTTTAAAGCCTGTTTTTCAAACAGAGCCACATGAGCCTATCTGACGATGATGAGGATCAAACTATGCTGGCTAAAAGTCACTGTTTTATCCTTTATTGTACACATATATGTATTGTAGAATAGACCGTTGCACTCAGACACTAACAGCAGGGAGAATTCCCCCTCTCTGAGGAATTTGAGGGGGATGATCTGCCTGGACTGTTGTTGGCACCGGAAGGTACAAAACTTTGATGTTGACTCTGCTAGACCGAAAGTTCTCCCCCAAGTTTATGACCAATCAATCCTGTTTTTATAACTTAAAATAAAAAGTGATTACCTGGAAAGAGAAGAGCTCAAAGAAATCATTAAAAGACTCAAATTACCATGACATTCATGCCCATTGTGACTGTATGGAAACCTTTAACCACACCAGTATAGTTAGTAATTAAAACCTCAAGATGTCTTCTACAAGCCAGTACATTGTAGTAATGATACTATTTTTAGAGCCTCATCTCCTGACTTCGGTGCAGAAGATGAAGCTTGAAGAGGAAGACAATGAGGTGGAAATGAGAGAGGAGAAAGAGTAGTGGAGGAGAAGGCATGAAGAAAGACACAATAAGGAAAGAGATCATGTACAAGTGCTAAATAGTCAAATATAATCTGAAAGAACTATTTGTGATCCTAAAATCAAAAGTTACTTATACGGTCTCTTGCATACATAAACACATAAAAAGTGAATAGAAGGGAAAGCAATGTTCATTTCAGCCGCTGTACTAAAGATGGTGGGGAAACAAGGCAAGCTGGGGAAACTAAACTAAAACCTAAACTGTAATAAACTCAAATTAACAAATATAAATATATATATATATATATATATATATATATATATATATATTATATATATATATATATATATATTACCGAAGGCATGCAGGCTAACTCGTTAGGCCGCGTTAGCTCGTTAACTGTGCCGCCACCCCAGCACGGGGCGATCTGCGCTAACTCGCTAACGGAGATTTGCCGCGTTAATGTGGTTATGGCGTTAACAGTCATTTTAACGAGATTAACGCTGACAGCACGTGATTTCTATATAATATATATATATATATATATATATATATTTGACTATATATTATATAATATATATCATCATCCATCCATTCGACTTCCGCTTATCCTTTTCAGGGTCGCGGGGGCGCTGGAGCCTATCCCAGCTGTCATAGGGCGAGAGGCGGGGTACACCCTGGACAGGTCGCCAGTCTGTCGCAGGGCCAACACACAGACACAAACAACCATTGGGCAATTTAGATTGATCAGTTAACCTATCCCCACAAACTGCATGTCGTTGGACTGTTGGAGGAAGCGGGAGTACCCGGGGAGAAATGTGGTGACGTTCCATCCGTCCATTTATTTTTGCATTGCTAGGCTGCAAATGTCACAGTAAAGCAGTGTGACAAGTAAAAAAGGGACAAAGGATAAATCTTCTGCTGTTTTTATTATGGGAGAAACTCGTGCTGTTGCCATGGTTTCACTCATTTTATTATGAGGAACAACAAAAGACATGGAGGAGTAGGCTCCACATGCTTAGCACAGCTCTGTTCTTACATGTCCCTCACATACATATGTGCTGTCAGGACTACAACACGGTTCTTACACGACTGCGACAGACCTTAGAGTTTCCATCTGATTTCATGCTTAATGTTAAATGTATTCTGCATACATGGCCACACTACTGCATCGCGGGTGGATCACTTTGCTTTACGGCTACAAGCACACTTTAAGTAGTGACAGAATCACTTTCCAAGGAATCAAACATCATTAGAATATCAGCAAAGAACACAAACAAGCTTCTCGCTGTGCTACACACGGAGTAAGGCTGCTACAATATCATATCTCCACTACATCATTTTTGTAGCCCATGCATAATTATCTAGGTTATGAAATAGTTTAAAGTATTATCTTAGAATAATCTACAGTAAGAAATACCATTCACAAGTTGGAAAATTAAAGATGGTTCAAGTCCCAGAAATTCACCTGAGCTCAGCTCACCATGCAATGCTAAGAGAAACTGCGAAATCCCAAGAACTCCATTTCAGACCCTGTGGGCTGTAATTAGCACATTAAATATTAAAGTTCATGACAGTACAGTTAGAAAGACTGAAGAAATATGATTGGAGGTGTTCCCATGGGAAGCTGAACAAACAAGACTTTTGGAGCAAAGTTCTCTGAACAGATGAGACATGAGTGGAGATGCTGGTCACCTGGTACTCCACATTCACTGAGTCAACCACAAACTCTTATATATGCCAAACTATTCTAGAGTCAGAGGTGAGGCCCAGTCAATGTCCAGACCTTGAAATGCTGTGGTAGGACCTCAAGAGAGCTGTGCATAAAGGAATGACCACAAACGCCACACAACTGAAGCATTTGTGGAAAAACAGTGGGCCAGAATTCCTTACATTTAGTTAAATAAATAATGGCACTGTGTATTATTTCATGTGTTCTTCTGGTGTTATTTGACTACATTTACCTGGTAAGGATCAGATGATTTATTTTTTTTAATGTTAGAACTATTTACTCTCTACCTTCAGATTGTTGATCATGGACATGTTATTACCGTAAGTTACCACTTCAGGGGTTATTATTAAAAGTCTTGCATGCTAGGGTTAGCCAGACCCTTTAGCAACCACAGTGTATTGCCTGTGATCATCATTGAGAATGGCAAGAAATGGCTAAGGGGCTGCCTGATTTCCAAAAAGCCTGAGCAGCACTTTGTCCCACTTTCTCACTGGCTGTAACACAAGCTGACAGGTCCACAGTGACAATGTGCTACTTGTTTAGTCCCTTAACCACCTCTCTGCCCTCTCTCTGTCCTTATCGTCCTCACTGTAGAGCTATACGCCATTGGTTAAGTCATGCTGACAAGGCCAGGGTGACCTCAGCAGCTCCTCAGTCAGGGATGAACTTGCTCACTTCTTTCAGTCTCTTCTCTTTGAATCTTGCTTATTTAATTTCACACCAGTCTATATCAAAGCACTGAGCTCTGTTCATCAGTAAGACAAAATCCACTTACACTGAACCAGCGTCTCAATACGTCTCCATTCTCAAGCCAATAATTGGGTTTGCAGTGGCAATCCATTTTACCAGAACAGTGAGACCTAGCTAGTAAATTGAAGAAGATTTGAGCATGCTGACACCAAGAGATTCCCAGGACATTTTTAGACACTGAAGCCTCTCGTCTGTGTGGTATGCATCTGTACACAGCAGTCATTTAAAAGGAGGCTCTGAG